ATGTGGATCTGTACATGTACATGTGAGCATCCTGAAAGAATCGCTCCAAGCAATGGCTATGAGACGTTTTACATCGGTGAGTGCTTCCCGCGAGGGTGTTCGAACCTCAAGTGGCGAGGTTTTCTGGGACCCATAAGGCCCCTCGTGCCTAACTCAAATGACACCGTCGCACAAGGCTGCAGAGTCCTCGAACCTGCTCTCCCTCTTCAGCGCCGTGGCTGTTTACATGCAGGCCTAGTCGTGTCACAGAACCACACCCTACTTCTCAACATCGCTGGACTCCAGGAGCCAAGTGAGCTGAGAAGCTCTTCTTTGAGGCTATTCCTACACAATGCAAATCTCAGCCAAGACCAGATTCAGCCGGCTCCAGCGCAGCAGATGAACAAGCCGCGGCATTTGGCATCCTCGCCTTGCAACCTCAGAAGTTTAGGGATATAGAGGCTTAGGGTTTGGAATTTAGAGGTTTAGGGTCTTGTGATCGGGCAACACAGGACCTCAAAGAACTGATGCAGGTGAATCGTTCGAGCTGGTGGCCTGGAGGGAATCAGGAAAGACATAATAAACAAAGACAGCAAACTTTTGCCTTGGGGGTACCATAGGGGTGGGAACAAGTAGGGATAGTACCCCCCTATAAATCTACTACACTATATCCCCCCAAGCCCCAGTGAACATGTTCAGGCCGCTACGTTCGGGTTGCAGGATTTAAGGTGGGTTGTTTCGTTAAGGTTCATGACTTCGGAACCTTTGCCCCAACCTACAAACAACAAACAGTAGGCAAAGAACTGTTTGAAAGGCTTAGACCCATTCCAGGTGGGCGCGACTCGCAAGCTAACGCTCGCATTAGTAGCGCCATCCCAGGAGTTGGGGGGGCATGAATAGACACGCTCCCCCTCTTTGTCAGGGTGGCGCAGGCCTAGACACAACATCAAGAGCGGGCCTTCGCGAAAGGAAGGGACCGCTAAACCCTGAACCCTAAACCACAAACAGGCCCGACTTCTATATCGGGGGCCTTTGGGATAGTATCCGTCGGAACGGGGAACCGAATGGATGCACAACAATAAAACCGCAAGCACGGCGTTTGCAACACAAAGACAGGAAACACTCGGAAAGACTCTTCAGCCTGTTACAAGTTCAGAAGCCCTCCATATAAAAAAAAATCACGAAAAGAAACCGCATGAACAGACGTCCGGAAACCTCCTTCGGTTTCCTGGACAAGCTCACTTACAAAATCACATCCCCCCAAAACACAATACTGCCTTCGTTAGCAAAGCTGAGAGTTCCAAGCCTGCGAATTCCCGAGATTGTGTGTGTGTGTGCCTTGTGTTCAGTTTTTAGGGCCTTAGGATTTAGGCAGCTTAGGGCAAGGTTTGCGAGCTAGCTTCTCTTAAATCCTGAACCCCTCGTTGCACATCCCAAGCTCAAAAACGATGTAGGCCTGTGGTGGGGGAGCCGCAGAACCTGAAACCCATATGGGCAATTCTCTGCTTCAGGGTACCTGCAAACAAAGTACCTCACAGTGAAAACCAGGGCCGAAAGAACAAAATGAACCCCGACCCGAAAAAACACCACCAAAACCAGCAAAGCCCAAAAAGCTTGCTTCACCGAGCTACGAGATGTTATCTGGCCGGATCGAGTACGACGTGGGAGCTATGTAGTCATTCGTTTCGGAAGCGGGGTCTGCCAGCAGCTCATGTCTGACCTGACTCTCCCGTGGCTTCGGTGTGGGGTTTGTGGCTTAGGGGTTTAGGGTTTCAGCACTCACTCTCGAACATGTCTAGGCGAGGTTTAGGGTGTAGGGTTTAGGGTTTTACAGTTTTTGTTGGGCTTGTATGGGTTTATGTTTTGGGCCCGCGCGTTGATGGGAGTTGCAGGGGTTCTACCTTAACAGGAGTTTTAGTTTGGCTAACACAAATGCTTTGGTAGATCTTGCAATCAGTGGATGCAGAAAAATCCGAGCAGCTGGCTGGTCGACTGCAGCTCTGCCGGGTGTAACAGGCCGTGGAATCCCTAACCCAAGGCCAACTATCCTAAACTGAAGCTTCTACATCTGGCAACCTGCCCCCTAAACTTGTGACATTGTCCTGAGGCTATCTCTCAGCATTGCCGCGAGTTTTAATGCAACAAACAATCGTACCCCCATGCACCGGGCTCAAAAACACATTGTTCGACACATGATGGCTTCAACACCAAGTCTTAGGCCCGCCAGCTGCATGGCATGTCCCAGCATACTGATCTCCTCAAGCACGAACGGAGCAAACGGAAACACGCACTCCCGGACTTGGTTGCAATCTGCACTCCGGCGACGAAGAACAAACAAGATGGAGTCTTGTGGGATGAACGCGAAACCGTAGTACATATTGGAGTCTGTTAAAATAGTACAACATAGCATAATCCATTCTAGCATATTCCAATATCGTGAAGCATAGTACCATTAATGGATGTACCCTAGCACTGCACCAATGACGTCCGAAGTCCCGAGCCCTCTCGTCAGCCCAAGGAGCCTTAGTGGCCTCATCAGGTGGAGTGATCTTGATGATGGGGGCCTGTCCAAGCTCCCATGAAAACATGAGAAACTTTGGGTGCAGGATCCAGGGTTCATGTCAGGTTATCTCTCTCTGTCTCTCTCTTTCTCTCTCCTTCTCCCTCCGCCATTGCAGCCTCAAAGGTTGAAAAAGTCGCCTGGCAAAACAATAGCGTGCATCAGAGATCGCCAACGACATGACGCCTGAACTGACATCACAACTCGAGGCGTTTATGAACCGTGCAAACATCACCCAAACAGATGTACCACCCTATGCAAACGTGTACACACGTCTGCGTACACGTGTCAGTTCAGTAAAGAGACCGGGGCCTCCAGCTGCTGCTCAGGCTCCCCTTCGGAGTCTGTCTGTCTCTCCTTCTCCGTACCAGTGTCCTGAAACGTTGCAGAGAATTCGACTTGACACTGACATGTACAAATTTGGCGAACTGGAGAGGCATCTGAGTAGCGCAATGGGTTGCTCGGTTCGGGCTCAGGGTTCAGGAAGATGGGAAAATCTCTGTGTGTGTGGGTGGGCTATGGATTTGGTTCATAGCGGTTGGAGTCAACATAGGGTTTTGTTTGGAAGCGCTCCATGCTGTTTTTTGGCAGTCTGATCCTGAAAGCAGTGCAAGGGCGCGCCGGGGGCGCTGCTTTTGCTGTTATGACTGCTGACGGCGATGGTAATAACTGGTATTGCTTCACTAGAAATCGACACTGTTATCAGTGAAGGCAGGAAACCGCCTAGCTACTCCTACTTGCTCCCACTCCCACTACCATTTTCTACCACAGCCGCCACTACCACCATTGCTGCTACCACCACTACTGCTACCACCACCACTACTACTACTTCTTCTTCTTCTCCTACTACTACGACGACGACTACTATTCTTATTATTACTACTACTACTACTGCTGCTACTGCTACTGCTTGTGCTACTACTAATTACTATAATACTACTATCTGTGCGACGACGACGACGACGACTGCTGCTGTGCTACTACTACTACTACTACTACTACTACTGCTACTGCTACTACTACTACTACTACTACTGCTACTGCTACAGCTACTGCTACAGCTACAGCTACAGCTACAGCGACAGCTACAGCTACAGCTACAGCTAC